GTGATCCTCCCCCCAAGGAGAGATAGTTCATCTTCCACGAAGTAATCCCTTTCTCAAATCTTTCCACCATTAGGTCCCAAAACCTACCCTTCCTAGGGTTGTCTCCTAGGGGTAATCCCAAGTAACTCATTGGCCAATCTGAGGTTGTACATCCCATAATATCTACACACTCCCTAACTTCCCTTTCCTCCATGTTTACTCCCACTAAACAACTTTTCTCAAAATTCACCTTAAGATTGGACATTTGCTCAAAGAGTTGTATAACTAGTTTCAGGCTCCGTATCCAATTCATATTCTCACCTTCACAGAACAATACTGTATCGTCTACAAATTGCAAGTGTGTGAGTGGTATCTCCTCCCTTCCTATTCCCACCCCCTTAACAAATTTCTTGGATCAGCTCTATGAATCAATCTCCCTAAAACATTTGCTATCAATATGACTAAGAAGGGAGAGAGTGGATCTCTTTGTCTTATCCCTCTCAATGCTGGGAAAATCCACCACCGTCCCATTTACCAACACTAAGTAATGACAACTCCTCAAACACCCAAAACCAAAGTTACTCATCACTTGCAACAAGAAAGACCAATCCACCAAGTCATAAGCCTTTTCTAGATCCAGTTTACAAACCACTCCTTTTTTCTTTGATTTCTTAAAGGCCTCTACACTCTCATTTGCAATTAGGATTTGGTCTGGAATCTGTCTTCCCTTCACAAAGGCTCCTTGGTAGGTTCAACTATAGTGGGGAAAACTTGCTTAGAGAGACAACACTTGCAATTATTTTGTACAGATTGTTGACCAAGCTGATTGGTCTGAAGTCTTTTGGATGTATGGCATCTCTCTTCTTTGGTGCCAAAGCAATGAAGGTGGAATTCAGCCCTGGGTTAATTACCCCCCTACTATTGAACTCTTCAAATATTAATGTTAAATCCTTCTCCAAGATTTCCCAACAGTCCGGATAGAATGCCATTATGAACCCATCTGGACCCAAAGCCTTTGTTCTATCCATTGAAAACATGGTCTCCTTTATTTCCTCAACTTCAAACTTTCTTTCTAACCACTCCCTGCGATCTGACCCCTACAAAGGCCTTCTAAATATAGATATGAAATGGTCTACAAAGGCCCTTGCTATTTCTGTCGGATGTGAAATAGTTGACCCCTTAACTTCCAACTTGGATATAAAATTCTTCTTCTCCCATTTGCCACAGTATGGAAGAACCTAGTATTGCCATCCCCCTCCTTCAACCATTTGCAAAGGGATTTTTGCCTCCAACTAATTTCCTCCTTGTGCAAGTGATCCTCCAATTGTTTCCTCAAGACTCCCTCCTTGTCCCCTTCTCCAAAAGAACCTCTCTCTTCCTTTAGGTCCAACTCCTAATCTTCTCAACTAAGAATTGTTTTCTTTCTTCTAGTATGACAAACACCAATTGGTTCCACCCTTTAATCCTAAGTTTCAAGTATTGGAGTTTCTTATGAAATTTCATTCCTTCCCAATCCACTAGGGGGTTACATTGCTCCCACCATTCTTTGACCTTCTTGATAAAACCCGGATGGGTTAGCCACATGTTCTCAAATTTAAAGGGAGCAGGCCCATCACTCTTTAAAACTTCCTTACAAATCATTATGGGCCAATAATCGAAAGTAAGTCTAGGGAGTGTTCTAGAGTTAATATTCCCCCAATGTTCTTCCCAATCAGTCAAGAAGAGGAACCTATCCAACTTAGAGCAAATTGGGTTCGAATGGAGATTGGACCAGGTGAAGTTATTGTGCAAGAGATGAAATCTAAGGAGTGTCTTGTCTTATCGCCTTGACAACCGTCTCCCTCCGACGCGGGAAGGGAGTGACCAACACTTCCAAAACCATATGCTAGTAAGCTACCAAAGCCCTAAGCATTCTACGACTTCAAAACCCTTAAATCCATTCCTCCCTTTACCCCAACACAAAATTGATATTCTAGAATCCTCCTTCTATCATAATTTTAATTGGGAAGAGAAGGTCTGAACTTTGACTTTCTTGTTGCTAACAGCATCACACACTTTAAATTTCCCTAGTATTTATCATATATCTATACATCAAAGGAACATGAAGTAGTGGAGCTCACCCCTTCAGAACCATGAAAACACCCCAATAGGCAAATTACTACAGTATTTTGAGGAACTGGACAAGCTCTATAGGAGTCTGACAACAAGCAAATATAGCTGCTTCTATGTTCATGTTTGAAAGGCATACAGCATTTCTACTTGCCGTTATTTGAGTGTGTCGACTGGTATTTAAAATGATATGCAACAAAACATAAAACCCATTTCTACCTTCTATTATTTAAAATGAAATGCAACAGTAACATATTCATCACTTCCAATCCATGCAATGGTGCTCTCTGGTGTGGGTATAGTTAGAGACTGCTATAAGGATTATTGGGAAGAGGTGGAGCAAAGAAGCTTCCATTGTGTGGAAGACTGCTGTCCATGCTTTGATGTGAACTATTTGGTCAAAAAAAACTTTAGAATTTTTCAAAATAAATTTGAATCTGAAGATGGGCTGAAGGCTATTCTAAAGGGGTTAACAGAGAGCATTGTTTCTGGACTGAATTGTAAAAAAATAAAATAAAAGCTTTCTGTTGTTGAATGTTTCTGCGTTAAGTATATAAGGGGGTAGTCGATGCTACCTAAAAGCTGTAACTTTTACTAAATTAATAAACTTTCTGTTGCTGATCAAGAGAGAGAGAGAGAGAGCAAGGATTAGCTGAACATGATGGCTGTTCAGCGGGCTTTGGAACCAATGATAATGTTCCACGCTAGTAATAAAATACATGGGACCTGCACCTTTCACAGTGGGGAACATGAATTTATTACTGACATGGAACATTTTCATTGGTTCCACAGCCCACTGAACAGCCATCGCGTTCAGCTAATCTGAATTCAAAAAAAAAATGGGCTGAAGGCTATTCTAAAGGGGAGAATTTTGTCTTGGGTAGAGAGAGGTTCTTAGGCTGTTCAAAAACAAGAGCTATATGATACAGTTTTTGTAAATCAAATAAACTAACTTTTTTAGAAGAGGTAACCATGAAAAATAAATTAACTATATAGTCCCAATGTACAGATCCTTCATGTACATGGGTCCTATATCTGATTTCTTTTCAAAGGAAGATCCACGAGGGATTTTTCTTCAGTCAATTCATTCTACTCTCTGCTTGGCAAGGTGATTGAATTTGTTCCCTGAATGATATGGCAGCCAATGTCCTAGTCTAGGCCATTGGATAACACAATTGTCCTTTATGTGGCAATTCAAAAGGATCAGTCTCCCACATGGTTGTCAAAGAGTTGCCTAGGTGAACAACCAGGCATTTTATGGGGATCACCTTAGTGCTTACTGTTTACTGTTTATTGTTCCTGGTTTGGGGCACCATGTTGGGAGCTATCATGTGCCTGTTGGCCTGCTGCTCACTATGGAAAGCAGTTTGGTGGCTTTCCTTCAATGAAATATTTCAGTTATTTATCAAACAAATCCTTGGAATTTTTATATGGTGGTGTACAGCTAACTATAAGGACTATTTCCCAATGTTGGTCCCAGGCACCTAGCTATCTGGGGTCTTGGGAGGGGTGTACAGATAACTATATCATATTATTCAAAAAAGGGTAAAAGACTATGACAAAAAAAAAAACAGTTTTCGATTTAGACGTGTGCAAAATATGGTAGGTTGCAAACTGTGACAGCAATGAGAATGAGAGAGTGTGTAATGTACGCACTGCAGAAGAGGTTCAGCCCGAGATTTTACTAATTACCATTACAACAAGTAATGGCCCCTATGTTACCAGTCATAAACAAATATATAACATAAGCTCAATAAAGCCAATACATATTTCTCCACTGCAATATCAGTCTATTCATAGACAATTCAGAATCAATGACCATAAGAGTTTGGCAAAGGTTTTAATGCCAGCTGCCAACCTGATGCAACCCTCCTCCTCCAAACATGGGACCGGTGATATTAGACAAGCTCATACTGGCAGAACATAAGTGCTTATAATTTAATAATGGATATAACATAAAGCAAATGGAATGGCAAAACAGATTCATGTAGCCAACCCCATATATTTGGGAACTTGGGATAAGGCAACGGCAATGACAACAATGATGAATATCAATCCATTCATGGTTATTTCCTTCCTTCCACATAAAGAAATGAAGATGAACCCTAATTATAAACCTTGGAAGGCATTAAGTCAATGTCCATTTTGGGATATACACATTAAGAACTACCAACAACTCAAAAGTAGATGAGATATGTTTAGATATTTGGATATTCGCATGCTGTGCAATACAATGACACCAGATAAAATTCAATGAAACACAGTATAATATCTCTCTTTTTTCCTGTCTGTCATAAATATAGTTCACAAATACCCATAGTTTTTCTCTTCTGGATATGCAACAAATATGCAAGAAGAATGAGGAAGAACATTCTCAGTATAAGTCAAACAGGAATTGTCATAGAGACAAGCTCATTATACGACAACTCCATCTCATATCCCAAAGGGGAAGAGATTTCCAAGGAATGCTTCCCATGATCTCATTATGTAATACACATTCATTCTATAGGACTCCTCCAGTGTTCTAAAGCGTTTTAGGCATTTTGAGGTATAAGAGGTGTCAATTAAACCAACTATTTGGTGCATTGGTGTCATGCGAAACCATTCTAATTTCAGCAATAAGATTACCTTCAACCTCACAAGTTAATCATAGTTTATCAAGAACTTGGGGAGCTCAATGTCTAATCAGTTAGACTTTCATGTATAAGAGGTTCCTCTTGTCTATTTTTGCATCAGCAATGTAATTGCTTCCATCACGTGCTTGTGTGCTTGGTATGCAGAAATGCACGAAAGCGTACTTCTCAATGTAAATAGGCCCAACTCCTAAGCTCTATAAACACCAATCTGAGCAAAGAAAATTAAATAAATAATAACAATAATAATAATAATAACTTTTGATTACACATTCATACCTTCCAAGGCCATAGCGTCGTTATTGCTGTCTCTGCCATGGAGAAGAATGCAGAGAGACCCAAAAGCGCAGCCAAAACCAAACCTTGCTCTTTGAGGACACATAAAACCTGCAATAATTTAGGCCACGCGCCTCGAAGCAACAATCCACTCTGTCCAAATACTCCGTACCCCGCACCAACAGCCCCTTCCATTGCAAAAGCTCTTTGGCACCCAATCACGACCATCGTGGCCAACACCAATCCATGCTTGACCAAAACCTCCAGAAATTTGAACTTGCTATCCGCAACCGAACCTACCACCATCCCACTCTCTTTTTCTTCGATCACGGATTTCAAATGGACGTTACCGTTAATCACCTCAACTTCCTGTAATTTTGACCTGCAGGCATTTCTGGGAATATAAGGATAGACGCGATGTATCGTCATTAAACGAGGATAATGCAGAATTCTTGGGTAAGTCTTGGTTGAGATTCTCAGTTCACGATTACAGGCAACAAAAAATGAAGGTTTTCCTCCATAAATGAATCTAGAACGACCGAGAATTGAAGCTTCTGCTCCTAAATCCATGGATGGCGTGCTCTATAATGATATCAGAATAAGTGAATTCTGAGACAAATTTACAGAACAAACGAACAGAATAAAAGTTCTCCTTGAGAGCTCAAATAGATGCAATCGAGACGTAGAGCTCATTTAGAGTGAGAAACCCTTGAAAGAAAAATGAGGAGCCATTTGCCGGTTCTGTGGGTGAGATGTGTTCATCGTCATCATCTTGGGAAGCTGAAGCCGTGGATTTTGTGTCGAAGCATCTTTGAGCCCATTTTGGTCTGATCCGGACTCCACTGAATTGACATATTCTACCTCTTATCTTTTTTTCCTTTTTTCTTTCTTTTCGGTAAATTACAAAGACCCCCTGTAATATGGGGTCTGTCACAAAGACCCCCTGTAATATGGGGTCTGTCACAAAGACCCCTGTAGTTTGTTTTGCGACAACTGTGAAACAAAACCCCCTTCCGTTAGCCTTCCGTTGAAATCTGCCGTTACAATATTTTTTAATCTTCATATTACCCTTATAATAACAATTTGGAAAAAAAACTGTTCATCTTCTCCGATCTCATGATACACAAACAGCAGCAGCGGACTTTCGAATTCCTCCCTCTCTCTCTCCCGAAGCCGATCTCTGGAATTATCGTGCTAACGAATTCTCTTCACAATCAAGAAAAGTGGCCATAGGCATAGAGTGGAGGTCCAAAACGACGTCGGGCTTAGCACAGTCGCTTATCGTCTTTTCCTCCAGTATCTCGTCAGGGTGAAAGAGAGGTTGATGGGAAGATAGAGTTAACTCATTGTTGTCGTCATTGCACCAGCCAGTCTTCCCCGCCATATGTCAATTATCGAACTGGAAAAGCTGGAACAAGTCAGAATTGATTAGATCAGATAGGCAAAACTCGACCGCATTGAGACCCATCATAAAATCCACTTAATTATCTTCCCCCGGAGTGAACGACGATAGCCCGTCGTAGAATTCTGAGTCAATCGCTGTGGAGGTCGCAACGTCGACCCCAACCGTGGAGGTGGAGGGCACTACCGCAGCACTGGCATCATTAATGTTGACGTGTTCAACTAGCTGGTTGCATGGTGGACTGAGAAAAACTTTGATGCACCTCACTGCCTTGGGCCTAACCACTCTAGATTCCGTGTTGGTCGTCGGTGATGGCTCGATTGGCTTCTTTTTCTTGTTGTTGTCGTCGTCGTCATCTTTAGACACGTTTGAGTGCCTATGAGTAGAAGTAGTTATTGTTTTAGGATGGTCTTGCACCTTCTTTACTAATTTAGTGTTCCAGTAGTTCTTGATTTCATTGTCTGTTCATCCTGGAAGCCTCCTTGCTATCAGCGACCATCTGCACATTATAACACAACCAGTTGCTCCGCACACCGTACAGAAGATTATTATAGCAACTAAACGGATTTCAAAGAATAAAACACCCTAGTTGAGCTGATATGGAGGTTGTGAGCATCGTCATCCCTCATCGCATGACAGGAACCCGAACTTGTGAACCATTCCTCATAATGCCCACTCCATCCTGCATGCTACTACCAATCTCAATCTGGGCGGGATAGACCGAGAACTGCGGGCAGCTCTCATCGCTTGTGACATCAGAGCAGGATGTGGCAGAGCCACCTGCAGTCCCAGTGTCCGACCGAAGAACTTCAGATTCTGATTGATTTCCACCTTGTTGTAGAGAAGCAGTCTGAGACATCATGGCCACCCATAGGGGCAGTAGGCTTGGACTCCTACTGGAGTTGCTTTGTGTTGAAACATCATGACTACTTCTCCCTTGAAGTAGCTCTTTTCTTGATCAAAAAGCAGAGCATAATACAACATGACAAAAGTGAAACCGCGCGGAGGTCCCCGGTGGTTATGAGAATTATGTCTTTGGTGGTCAGTTTGCGGTGACTTGGTTTCGTAGTCTCTGGTGATGGAAATGGCAAAGAGAAACAGGAATCCTTCCAGAAATGAAGTTGTGATCAAGGGTCAATAACTGAAGCTGATAGCTCTGTTCCACTCTAGGTATCAGAAATAGAACCGGAGAGATTATTGTACCGAAGAGCAAAGAAGATGAGAGAAGGGGGAGAAGGTAAGACTTACAGGAATTGAACCTGACAAGGCGTTGAAGCTGACTGTAAAGCCTCGTAGAGTTCCCGAGACTAGTGAGGATTGTTTAGTGAGCGAGTTGTTGCTAACGTCAAGAGTTTTGAGCAATGGAAAAGAACCGATCGAAGGAGGAATTGAACTTGAAAATCGGTTGTCCAAGAGATAAACACCTCTCAATTGGGGAGGAACCCAAGAGAAGTAGGAATCATGACTGTGATAATGGGTTTCCTCCGTCCTTTCATTTTCATTTTGGAGAGTTGGGAAAGAGAAATAATGAGAGAGGGGTGAGGGAGGGGAAAAGAAGAGAAGAAAGGGAAAACAATAGGTTAAATAGGTTTTAAGAGAAAAAGGGCAAAAAATAAAATAGAAAAAATTTAGTGGGGTATTTTGGTAATTTAATACACTCCATCGTTAGGGGGTGTTTATCACGAAACAAAGTACAAGGGGTCTTTGTCACAAACCCCATAGTACAAGGGCGGGTCTTTGTAATTTGCCCCTTTATGATTAAAACGGAACAATAGCCCTATAGTTTTAACTTTTAGGGAAATTGTCTAAAACTCACCATGAGTTTGAGCATTTATTTTAAATTCAAAGTGTAAAACTTATCATATCACTGATTTGATGTTAAATAAATTTAGCGGGTGTTAATATATTACCATTTTTACCTTTATAGAAAAATATAAAATATATACAAAATAAATTAACGAGTATTCATATATTATCATTTTAATATTTAAACCTAAAAAAAGTTTAAAAAATATTTTCAAATATAAAAGGGAGAATGATTGATACTCCCAGTGTCAGAATTTGTAGGTTCAAAGTACATTTGGGATAGGTGCTAGCTCGAAATTTATGCCAATTCATAGGTAGGTACATAGAGTGTGGTTTTTGGTCGTTTTGAATGTTTATAGCTATGCAATGGGAATCAGATTTTTGCATTGGGTGTATTCGTACTTCTTCGAATATAAAATACATAAAAACATGAAAATTACAAAAAATATAAAAAATTATAAAAATTTCAAACAAAATTAAAAAATTATTTTCAAATTATAATAACTATAGAAATTGAAAAACAAAATCAAAAAATAAAATTTGTAGAAAAACACAAAAATTGCAAACAAATAACAAAATATACAAGAAAATTTATAGATTGTAGAAAATAGAAAAATGTAAAAAAACATAAATTATAAAAAACATTAAAAATTATAACAAAACACTAAAAATGCAAAAAAAAAACAAGAAAATTGAAAACTGAAAAAGACCATTTTTCCTCTAACTCACTAATCAAGGGTATTTTGGTCATGAAAATTGTTATTTATGTTGACATGGACACCTCTATTAAGAAGCATTAACGGTGCACTAAGGAAGGTGAGTTTTGAAAAATAAAAACTTCCTACCATGGTGAGTTTTAGTCATTTTGAAGAGTTTGTGGTGAGTTTAAGAGAAATGCCGAAAAACTCACTGAGTTTTAGACAATTTTCCAAACTTTTAGGCTATATTTGGTTTGAAGGAAAATGTAGGGCCAAGTTGGTCCAAAGGTGAATTGATAGACAGATTCTGCCACTATTATTTAGGTTGTGTTTGGTATGAGCCTTTTCCTACCTTTTCTTCCAAGGTCGTGTTTGGTCTGAGCCTTTTCCTACCTTTTCTTCCAAATCAAACATGACATTATACGAAACTCTCAGGTCTCCACACTTGTCACCAATCCTCTTAAATTCATCTCATTTTTAGTTTGGATAAAATATAAAAACCTTTCCTGCATTTTTTGACAATCATATGAACCACCCCTTACCTTACTTTTCAAGAAAACATGCAAAAAAACCTCTCTTCCCTTAATTTTATTTTTGACAGAAAATTGTGATGTTGAGTATTAAGTGCTATAAAATGCCACTTTTGCCTATGAAGGGTGTGTTTTGGTATACATAGAAATAATGTTCGACCACCATAATATTAGTGAGTTAATCAACATTGTTTTATGAATCAACAAGCAACATTAACACTAGTTGTAGCATTTAGTTATGGAAATCAGGCATGCTACATAAGAAGTTGGCAATGTTTTAACAATCGCCCCTAAGGTCAAACTATTTTGCCTCCGGGTTGTGGGTTACCAGCTTGATCGGTCAAGTTATATATATATATATATATATATTATTTTAAATAGAAAATTATGGACAGGCCCATTGCATATTTTTGAATTCCATTACAATCCTATAAATATTCAAAATGTCAAATGCCCCCACTTTATACACCAATACCCACTCGTGAATTGGCATCAATTTTGAGTTGGCACCTACCCTAATTGTACTTTGGGCCTAAAAATTCTGACTTTAGGCTGAACTGTCATTTTCCTTATTTTATATTTCATTTATGTTTTTTAATTCAGTTTTAATTTTTTATTTATAAAAATATTAAAATTTGTGATTTGAAGAGAAAAATGGTTTTTTTCACAAAAATAGCGAGATAAGGTGTGGGGCACATGGATCTCAAAATATTACCAAAAAAAAAAATCACCTCAATTAGACATTGGAGTGCAGAATTATGGCCTCCAGAAGTTTGCATACACAGTTAGTATGCAACCCATGACCCGGTCACTGGATCAACTGGGTCAGCGGTCCAACCATTCGGGTCGGGTGATTTTTTACAAAATCAATGGGTTTTGACATTTATCTGGGTTTTACTTGAACCGAACCCAAAATCTTAACTGAATAATGATTTGAACAATTTAACTGCTCGGGTTAACAGTAGTTTGAAAACACATTACTACATTACTTGGCTATAGACCTACCCATGTATGTTTGGTCACGCATGGAAGCTAGACCTGAATTTTACATGGCATTTAAGCTCCAAGAGTCACTAATGGTCATGGGAATGGAGTGTTACTGTACTTTATGGCGAATAGTGTGAACGAAGTGTTTGACAGAAAGGCAACCAGTATCCACCTAGTCTCATGGCAGAACCAATTGTGTTGAATACGATAATGCCACGTCCATTAGGCCATGTTTGGTTGCAATGCAAATAAATTTGCACTTATATAAAATCATAGCTGTGCAAATGATTTGAGAGTAAATTATGACTTATTTTTATTTTAAATTTTAGCTTATTTTGTTTGATTGCAGTATAAATGAAGTAAATTAAGACATGAATCAAAATGAAATAAAGTCCAAAGAAAAATTA